ACTCGGAGCTAAGACTCTGACTTTGAAATGACAGAAGATTTTCAAAACTCAGGAGGATTTTCAAAACTCAGTAAAATCAGTGACGGAAGCACGAGTAAGTGGGATAGGAATTCCAGGAAGACTAGCTACAGAAAAAATTGTGTCAGTGGAAAAAACAGAGCAGAAGAAAAGCGTGTGAGGTATCAGAGATGAGCACAGTTTCTTCTGAGAGCCACCAAAGAAGCTAATCATAGCAAATAAGTAGAAAGAGCAATAATGCTCGTTATTTATTCTATAGCTATATTGAGAACAGTAGAAATGGCTGCAGAACATCTCTGTTTCCTTAAACAGAAGTCATTACAAATGATTTTTTTTCTTAAAATAAAACATAAGAGCTATCCTTAAAGAAAGGTGTAGGGAGAAGCTTCTATTAAGAGTGAAGAGGATAGTTGGAATCAGAGCATTTCTGTGGGTGTTATGAATATTCACAGCAGCCAGAACTAGGGAATGAAGTACAGGAGCTCAGTCAAGGCAGATCTTCCAGAATGAAATACACTGAAATACACTGTATACCCACCCTAAGAGGCATTTTTCTTACCTCAGCACCCCTGCCTGCTCTTCCTCACTGTGTTCCACAGGTAACCTCATCTGACAAGTGTTTCATGCTCCTATACCCTAATACCACAGCCTGATCTCCAGATAAACAGTAACCTAGAGTACTCATTCCAAATAAATCTCACAATCAGCCCAGTCCTTGACTTGTAGGAGTCAATGAACAATAAAGAACCATCAGATTATTTAAGGATCACTAGATTATAAACCCTGAGTAGACAGGGTACATTTGAATCAACAGAGCCACCAACAAAATGAAAACAATCCAAGAAGACAAAATAATTAAAAAACTATGAATAATACTCTTCAAGATAATTTTAAAGGCTCTAGTATCTACCAAACATGAATTAGTGGCTATGAATAAAACAGGGGTAAATTTCACTATTTGTACAAAATGAATAAATAAATAAATAAATAAATAAAAACTGATGAAGATCAGAATTAAAATAATCTGAAGGTAAACCTAGATATCTAGAAGATCAATTTAGGAAACATCAGCATATAGATATAAATTATATATATATATATATATATATATATATATATATATATACCATATATATATAGGGTATATATATATGGCATTCCAGAAGGACAAATGGGAAGGGGCTGGGGATTTAGCTCAGCGGCATAAGCACCTGCCTTGCAAGCAGGCAGTCGTGAGTTCGATCCCTGGTACCGATAAAAATGAAAAACACAAAAAAAAATTTAGAAAAAAAAAAGAAACAATGGGGAAGAAATAAACAAAGAACTAATAAAAGAACATTTGACTCAACTGAATACAAACAAAAGACTACTATGATAGGGAGGGCTTATGTAAAACAAAAAGTGTAACATTTAGGCACAGTCAAATGATAAGCATTCTGTGATAAAAAAATACTAAAATATTCCACATAGTAAAAATTACTTATCTTTAAGAAAGTAAAGAGACATATGTAAGTATCAGACTTGTTATTAGTAGCAGTGTATTCTAGAAAATAATGGAGACATGTTTCCTAAGTTCAGCGGAAAAAATACAAGCTGAAAACACACTAAATAATGATTATACATTTAAGCATTTTATTTATCTTCAATTTTTACAATCAGCCAATTAAAATATTTATAATTATAGTTAGAAAATAGAATGTTACTATGATAGACAGTATGAATAATAGGGATGGAATGAGAAATAAAATATTATAAACTTAGTAGATCCCCAAACTGACATGTCAAGATCTATGAGCTGGTAAATCAAGAAGTGAAGGAATGTAAAATATATTTTTAAAGTTATAATTGTAACCATCAGAAAAAAACAAAATGGGAGGTGAATAATTATTAAAATTCCTCTAAGGACTAGACTTGTATCTCCCTATAGTGAAGAGGGTATTACACACACACACACACACACACACACACACACACACAAATACACAAATACACTAATGATGTCTGGATAGGATCAAAATGGATCTCAGTAAATAGGTGATCACCAGGAAACTGTGGCTTCTGAGAACAAACTGTAGCTTTCCTGCTCTCTGGATGGAGGTGTGCTTTCACTGTATTCCAATTGTTAGGTGATAGGTAGGTGCACAATTGCATACCAGTATTGAGATGGCATCAGTCAAGAGTACCTTTGATATTACAGGCAGAGTGTGTGTGCACGTCAGCCCACAGCTGGATGGTACTGGGTGTCAGTCAATGTGGCTGCCATCTGAATTCCTCTCCTTCTCAAACTTCTCTGTGCAGAATCTCATGTTGAACTATGGCAACACTAAACTGTCTTTTTCATAGGCATGGTCAAGGACTATACTGCAGTCCGTCTACAACCTGTGAAGTCCATCTATAGCTCATGATATGACCTGGAATCTGAAGATAAAGAAATCATTCCATTCAAGTCCCTTTTCTTTGGAATTTGAATTCAATTTGGAGACATTTAAATGGGGACTAATAGTGTCAGAGAGTTGCTCTGCAAAAGACATGAACTGCAAACATGCTACTGAGTCCACAGTTGACTGTCACTTTTTGATTATTCATCATTCCAAGGGATTCCACCTCCATTTTTAGATCATGAATTTCCTTCTAATAACTACTCCTTTTATTTGCACTAACCTGAATAACTCTCCTTCTTAAGACCCAAATCACTCTAATTCAAAGATACCTGATGACATGACACATGATGTTCACTTTGTAGTAAGACGGGAAGAGAGGTCTGGTGACTGGTGGCCTTTGAGATAGTAAGATGAGCCACTTCTGCTTTACAGTTTCCCAGTCTGCATCACAAGAACTACTGCATGTGATTGAGACTGCTTTTTCAACAAGAGCAGATTTTCCTTAATTGCTTATTTTTTTTCTTCTTTAAAAAAGACTTTTGAACTATTAGATTGGAGGTCTCAAGATATTTCTCAAAGCCTCCAGTCTTTTTAAATGGGCTTAGGAGAAAATTAAAAAGAAATAACCCTTAAATTCTCTTTAATGATAGCTTTGTTTTTCAGATTCAGAAACAAGGCTACCTGTACTGCATCTAAACCTTCAAAATATGGGAAAGCAATGGTATTTGGAAGATGTCAGCTAATCTCCCAATTTCTTCAAGACAGCCCTTCCTAGTATGCACGAGGAAGAGAAAATCCTGACAGCAGGAGACTGGTTTGCCCCCATCCTTCAAGACTTAGTAACGGCCTTTTGAACATAAAAATGTATCACAGCATGAAGCAGGGGCAAGTCCGTGACTGTGACAGATCAAGACACAAATAAGACTGATTTATAATCATGTTTGAGAACAGTCAAAGCGTGAACATGGTACAAGACACAAAAGTGATCAAACATTTCTCTATCTAAATTGCATTTATCAAGACAGTCATAAAAGTCATCCCACTTTTTGATAATATCCAATCTAAAGTCTAACTCTCTTAATCCTCAAGATTACCTACTCCAAGCCCTAATGTTCTCTTGCATGCAATTTCTAACACTTTTTAACTAACACTCTCTTACTATGATGCCTTATGGCTCCCGATGTCGCTGTGTCCCCTCCCCCTTTTAAAAAGTAGTAAACCCTCTATGTTTCCACTGTCAGGCTGGAGAAAGTTCAGTGGGCCTTAGAAATGTCATGTTCTCCCACTCCTGGTCTTCATTCTCTCAGAAAACAGCAGCTCATTAGACTGACTTTCTTGCACCTAACAATAATCACCAATGTCTACCAAATATTTTCTAGCAGATATTTTACGGGGAGTATTCTATCTGATCCCTCAACGCTTTATAAGTAGACAGGATTAATACTCAGTTTACAAAAAGAAAATGAATATCAAACCACAGCTCTACCAAGTGAAGGAACTGAGCCAGCAGTCCCAGACAGTCAGCTGGTGGGCACTGGGGTTCTGTCTACCCAGTTCTATTGCCTCCACTGTTTCCTCTGGCCCAGTAGTGGATCACTGTGACTTCAGCCTGCATTGAAAGGCACATAATAAACAGGAAATGATTGCTAGGTTTCCTGTAAGATGTGCAGGAATGCAAACTCTGACCAGGAAATACAAAAAAAAAATAATAATAATAAATTCTTCCAGGTCTCAGTACTAAAAATAACTTCGATGCTTTTTTTTAAGAAGTCAGATTTCTTTTTCACCTGGTGGTGACAATCATTTAACTCAGTTATTCAACTTGATTTCTAGAAGTTGAATAAACCTAACGAAGGAAGACATTCTCTTTATATTTTTCTTCAATATTACTGATGTGGACAAAAGATTCCTATCAATAGTAACAAGACTATCATTTCTTTAGCTCCCTGTATAGGAAAGAAAGGGGAAACTGAGGTGCAGAGCTTTGCGGGTGATAACAGCTACTGAGAGTTCATTTTTCTTCTTTACTTTTATAATTACCTATAGTCAACTATATGGGCTTTCAGTTCACTAACAATGCAAAAGGTCTTTAAAAAATAAATTCACTGCAGTAAAAGTTGAATTTCTTTAGGGAAAAATGTTAAGCAAATAGTAACAGAACTGGTATTGGACACCAAACAAGGAAGCAGAGATCAATGATTTTGGAAACTGACTTCAGACTCCTCTAACTTTAGAGCTGGAAAGACCCGAGTTAAAATCATGGGTCAGTGATCTCCGGAGTGTGGGTCCTTATGGACCAATTTCACCTTTTACTTTTATTCATGAAATATCCTTTGTCTCCTTCTTCACTTTCCCCTGTGTCCTGTGTCTCCCTGCTCTCATCTGGTCAGGGGAAAACGCCTTTGTTTTAATAACGCTGAGACAGAAGACCACAAGTGGCCAGAGCGACCCACTCCCCTGGTACAACAGCAAGAAAGTAAGTCCAGGACGGCCCAGCTCCTCCGACTTCCTCAGGTCCTGGGAAGTTTCAGTTCTTCAAACTGGACAGGAACTGCCTCTCTAAAACTGCCTGGACAGCGAATTCTTTGGCTCCTTTGCGTCCTGGCTTCCAGTCACCCTGAGAGCGTGTTCCTGAGAAACGTGGGAGTAAATCAGAGAAAGTTCTTGGGTAGGAAAGTGAGGGGGCGGCGCCCCGCCGGTCCTCCCCTTTCCTGGCTGCAGCACCTGGACCCTCAGTCCGCCTCCCGCCTCTCTAGGGCGCAGGGCGCAGGGCGTGGGGCGATGCGCGCAGACCCTCGGGGGCCGGGGGAGGAGACGCACAGTGATGGGTGGGCAGCGCGGGAGAATAACGCCCAGGAGCCCTGGAGGGAAGGCTCCAGACGCCCGGAAATCTCTTCTGTCTAGAAAAGCTGGGTTTGGATTCTCCTCTCTAGAGTTCTCAGGAAGTTTTGGGGGAGGGGCGAGCCACGCTCTCCTATCCTACCGGCGCCGGGCGCGATAGGGCGTGCAGGGACGACCAGAGCCTCGGGTCTCAGTGCTGTCACCGTCCTGCCCTCGAGCGGGCTCCGGGTGCAGCCGGCGGTTGAGGGCTGCAGGGTGGTGGGCAGCAGGCAGGGTAGCCATGGAGGGTCTGGTTCTGTTCAACGCCTTGGTCACCCGGCTGCTCTTCCTGCTGCACTCGCTGGTCGGGGTCTGGCGAGTGACCGTGGTGATGAAGGAGTCGCGGTACTGGCTGCTTGCATTGCTCAATCTCTTGCTGGTCCTGGAGACTGTGCTCACCCTCAAGTTCAAGCGCGGCAGAGGCTACAAATGGTGAGAGAGCTCTGGGGAAGGGAGGGTGCACGGGGGCCCTGGGCATTGTTCCCGTGACACTTGGAAGCAGCTTCAGAGCTCACCTCGCTGCAGCCCGCGTTCCTTGGCTCGCTTCGGACCCCTTTGTCCTACCCCGGTTTGAGATGCCTGTGCGTCCTTAGTGCGCGTCGGTGGCACCACTGGGTCCCAGGGCATCCCTGGGAAGCCTGGAACCCTGAGCGCAGCCAAGTGTCACTCAGCCCAGGTTTGGAAACTTGGAACGGGGGTGGGAGAAAGGAATGGGGAAGAGCTTCTGCTTAGCACAAAAGTACCCCCCAGACAGGAGCTACCCGGGAGGAGGAGGTTGCTGTGGTCTGTTTTTGGAAATTCAGGATGTGTGGTGCGCTCCGGTTATTCTGCGTGCGCGCAAGTGTGGCAGTTTCTCTCTCTGGGCATCAACTGTCTTTCCAAGAGCTGTGCGCCCTGGGCAGCTTCGCACAGGGAGAAACCACCAGCCGGGCATCTTTGATTTCAGCTACTTCGCTCCTTTCCAGCCCCTGGCGCGGCGCCTATGGGCTTCTGCCACTTCTCAGCCTTCTAACCACCAGCATCCTAGTTCCGCGGTGGAGCAGCTTCAGGTGTCTGGGTTTGGTGGCTTCGGAACTCAGCTTGCCAGGCCCTGGGCTGTGTACCACACTGGCTGAGGAACCAGTAGGCAGTGGCTCAGGCTTAACCTCAACGTACAGGAGCTACAATGGTGCTTTTTGTCTTCCCCAGAGCCTTGAATGGCAGTAGAATAGAGAAAAAGAATCTTTGGCTATTTTCTAAGTGCCTCCCCCAAGCCCACCCATAAGCTACCAGTACATTTAGCTGAAAACTTCTCCAAGTTATGCCTCTTCCTGTATTTATCTAACATCAGCAAGGTTGTATTTGCACAATTTTTAATCCTGTAAAAATACCTAATACCAAAAAAGGAGATAATCTTATTAGCCAATTTGAAATTACACACATTCCAATATTCACCATCTAATTCTGAGGGGGAAAAAAAAACCAAAAGGCTCTACAGTTTTAAACTACAAAAGGGTATGTATTTCATGATAGAGCATAGAGGAAAATATGTTATCTCTGAATATGATGGGGGTCTCGCCTAAATATTCCAATGCTGAAAAATTTCTAGAATCATCAATGTTCGTTCAAGAGCAATATTAATTTAATACATTGAAGACTGAAATGTTACCACCTCCTTGCTTTTCATAAACAGTTCATTAAGCAGCATACTTTCCAGTATGCCTTTTGGAAAACTCAAAGAAATATGGTGTTAGCTTTCCAAAGAAACCACAGAATTAAAGAAACAAAAGAGAAGGAAAGTGTTTGTTCATCTACCAAGTCCTATAACATTTAGTTTTTACTGAATAGCTTTAATATATTATGTATAAATATCTTCCATAACAGTAAGATGAAGTCTGAGGCTGAAAAATGTTTCATGTAAAGTAATCCTGCCACCAACCATCAAAGTTTCTAGGGCAAGTGTCAACTGCAGAAAGGAGCCAGCTCAGCAGGACCTGAAATAACCCCCTTCTCTCCAAGAGTCAAACAAATTTATTCCAGTTGTGTAGAAGTACTATAACCAAAGGAAGTTTAGCTTTGTGTCTGTACCATTTCTGGTTGCTGATTTAAATTGACATGGAATTTAATCCAAGAATGTTTGGAGCAAAAAATAGGTCATGGTCAATGAGTCAAATAGAGAATGAATGTGCTAGTATTTAGAGTATAGACCTCAAAATCAGATATAAGTGGGGTAAAATATGCACCTTCCTACTTACATTCTGTGATACATTGAATATATTACTCCATGTCTCTGAGCATTGGACTCTAATCAGTAAACACTTATTTCATAGGTTGTTAAAGAACTATGTGAACTAATAATGTGATGGTCAATGAATAAAAAGCAATGGTCTTCTCTAGATCCATATGTTTCCCTTTGTGTTGTTCTTATTAAAATATTATCATATCAACTAGACATATTTTATGCTTGTACCAGTCAGACAACTTTGCTTGAGAGATTAACCATTAAGCCACTGGTTTAGAATTATTTTTTTTTTTATGCCGCTGAGCTGAATCCCTAGTCCTGGGTTAGAAATTTTTTAAAAAGCTTTATCTCATGAAACAGACTTATCTTAACACTAATTGAAAAGAAGTCTTGCTGGCTTAAGGCATAAACTCAATTTATATTTGAAAATAATCAAAGAAGTTGATAGATTTGGGTTATTATAAAACTTTAGAAACAAATGAAAGCAGTCTAAATAGAAATGTGCCTAATAATGCTTTGTTCTACCAAATGTACTGCTTTGATGTTACCAGATACAACTAAATGTGTTAATTATGGTAATTTGTCCTATAGATGAATATCACACAACATGTTATTAATTTTAGAAAAAACAGTCAAAAGTTACACTGCTAAACAATAGAGTAAGTTACCCTTGAAATGACATAGTAATAATAGAAAAAATTTCAGTTGGGACATATTTCATTTCTTAGTTGAAGCTGTCTAGGTAAAAAAGGCATTGTTTGTTGCTCTTGAATACTAAGAACAATTTTTCATTGGAAAAATCTAAACTGATAAAATCATTAAAGCATACAATATGGAACTATTTCTACTATTATTATAAATATTATATTTATAATATTTATATAAATATTATATTATTATAAATATTATATTATATTATAAATATTACTGAATATCAATCTGTGCACAGAAGTATATACATATTGGTAGATCTTTGACTCATGGGTCTTGTATTTGAAAATTTACCTCATGGAACCAAAATCTCCAGTTTTAAACACACATACAAAAATACTAACTCAAAAAAAGACCCATCTTGAATCATATTAATGAGAAATAAGCTGAAAACAATCTGATTATCCATCAGAGGAATAGTGGAAAAATTATGATATACTCATGCCACATCATATTTTGGTGATATTAAACCTAATGGGCTAGATTTGAACTATTTGGCATGTTCGTCATATATTGTCAGCACACGGTGATGCATACTAATAATTCCTTTTTTAAAAAGTAGACTTGGAATAGGATTACCCTTTGCATCAATTAGAAGTTGTGTTTCAGCAATTTGATTAATGAAAATATGAAGGAGAAGGAGGAGAAGGAGGAGAAAGAGAAGGAGAAGGAGAAACAGCAGCACCATAAGGAGCAATAGGATGAGGAGGAGGAGAACAAAGAGGCAGCAACAGCAATAGTCACCCTCCAATTCTGAAAACGGACAGAACAGAGTAAAACTTGAATGGTGGATAGACTAAACCTCGTGTGCATATGGGATGAAAAATCCCTTTTCCTTAAACATCAGATCCATGAATCTCTTTGTAGTATTTTGAGTTATTTTAAACATTGCTTTTACTACACTTTATACCTGGACACAAAGAAAGAAAATCTGTAGAAATAATGGCTCAAGAAACGATGCTATAGAGGAACATGTGAACCAAATTTCTTGAAATGTAGCAAACTTATTACATGTGCTCAAGGAATGTTTCTTTAGCTATCCTTTGGAAAGGAAAAATGGAACTAGAGTTGCTGAGTTCAGCTGTCCAGGGACAAGCAACATTACATCAACACTATTAACTTGCCAGTTGGAGAAGTTTAATTTGTTGGAATCCTATAGGATTGAGCGGGTGAGCTGATGACGCAAGTCTTGTTAAATTTAACAAATGTACTCAAGTACATTTTGCTCTTTTTCTACCTAGTATTCATTTCACCTGTGTAATCACTTATGTTTCTTTAAGATGGAAGTGAGTATTACTTAGCTTAATATTTTTCTTGATTTTATTTTCAGTTGTCTGGGCAACAATCCAATGGATCTGAGAATTACCATTTAGGTGAAGTCAAATACGAGACAATATTTCAGTTGCTTTCTAGCCAATAGTGATAAAATATTCCACAGAGGATAGAAAAATTACCAAGATTGTGACAAGCTTGAAGCCTGTTCACTTGAAAGCAGGCAGTATTTGAGAATAAGTAGAAATATAAATTTAATGTACTGGCAAAATAAGAGAATTTTAAGCACTGAGCCTGTTCACCAATGTTTTAAGTCTGCAAAGAAAATCCAAAATTTTTAATTAATTGGAAATAACTAATTGTTATCCCTCTTTAGTTTTTCTTTTATTATGTTAAATCAAGTGATTATATATTGAATTGATGCATAAACAAACACACTATACCTAATTTTGTGTGATCAAGCAGGAAAAAAAAAAAGACCAAAAACAAACACTACTAAAATTTTGAAATGAAAGATAATATTTGGATTGAGTGCTCAAATGTATAGAATAAGAATAAAATATTTATGTCTTCCTGTGTTCCTGGTTCTTCCAAGGGTCCCACATAGGAATCTAGTTATTCTTGACAGCAGTTGCAACCATTTTCTGCCTTTCTGTTCCTCTCATTTTTAGAACAGGAAACTGAGGCACAGAGCTCTTAAAACTTTTCTCTATTATACAGTTAGTGAAAGATAAAGATTAATAAAATCTCTCAACTCCTACTCATTGTATTCAGATTGCTGGGTGGAGGAGTAGGAACTTCAGTTGGTAGCCTTTGAGTCATAGCAAGACAAATTGGTGGCATCTACATTTGGAGAGAGGAGTGCACAACCTGGACACTGCAAGTAAACAAAACAGGTACATTAATGCCTTCATAAAATCTTGTATTTTAAGCAAGAGGCTCAGGAAATAACCAAAAAGGCAACTGACAACAAACACCCTAATGCATAGCAATAAGCAAGTACAAAAATGAAAGAAGGCCTACACAGCATGGGTGGCGGAGCCAGGGAGCATGCAAAGGAAGGTTCCACTGTGTGATCAGAGAGGTGGTCGGGAAGTGACTTTTGAGTCAAGGTTTCAAGGATGAGGAGCTGAGCATAGCAAGCACAGAAAACTGAAAAAACTTTGCCATATCTCATTTTAATCACTGCATGTTAAAACTGTCCAGATGGCCCAAACATGATTCTCTG